ACGGTCCAACTCAGGAAATCTAATTCCAATTCTTTGTAGTCAATCAACTAAACCCACTGACACTGATATTATTTTTAACCTTGCTCTGCTTAATGTCAGATCACTATGCAATAAATCCTTTTTAATTAATAATTTTATCTGTTCTTATGATCTTGACTTTATGTTTATGACTGAAACTTGGCTTGACCATAATACAGAAAATGCAGTTTTAATAGAAACAACACCACCAAATTTCAAATTTGAATCAGAAATTCGAGAAAATAAAAGAGGAGGAGGCACAGCAGCAGTTTTTAAAGATTGTATTGTCTCCCATAGAGTACCTCTTGGGAAATTTTCCTCATTTGAGTATGTCTCTTTTAAAATAGAACAAAAACAATCTTCTATTCTTATTATTGTTGTGTACAAGCCGCCACAGTCATGTCATAGTTTCACTGATCATTTCACCGAGTTGCTTTCAGTTGTGTGCACAGACTTTGATAGTTTAGTCGTCATAGGTGATTTTAATATACATGTAGATAACGTTAATGATAGATACGCGAAAGAGCTGAGCTCTGTGCTGGAAACCTTTGGTCTCACTCAGCATGTGAGTGGCCCCACCCATAGCAGAGGACACACTCTCGATCTGCTAATTACTAAAGGGGTTAATATCTCAAATGTAAATGTGGCCAATGTTGCTCTGTCAGATCATTTCTGTGTATTTTTTGATATGTGTCTCAATAGTAAAGCACGAGCTGAATCCTCAATTGTTAGAAGAAGAAGACACATAAACAAAAATACAGGTGAACTTTTCATGGGGATGATAAACTTTGATAACACGTTGTGTTCTACGGTGGATGAATTACTTAACTCTGTCACCTCTAGTGTTTTGGATGTTCTGGACACGATTGCTCCTGTAAAGGTCAAAATTGTTACAAATAAGCAAAAGGCGCCATGGACAAAAGCAGACTCTGTCAGGGCACAGAAGAGAGAGTGCCGGAGAGCCGAGCGGAAGTGGCGAAAGTCAAATCTCCAAGTTGACCATGAGATCTTCAAAGATGCATTGTGCAAGTTCAACAGTGTGCTACGTAGAACGAGGGAAACTTATTTTTCCGAAACAATCGAAGGTTGTAGTGGCAATCTACGCGTTCTGTTCTCAACAGTAAATAAATTGACAAATCCCCCTGTTAAGATGCCATCAGAGCTTACCTCCAAAACCAAATGTAATGAGTTTGCAGAGTTTTTTAATGACAAAGTCCAAGGCATCAAAAATGCCATCACCTCCACAGTAGAAATTACAATCCAACAGCCAGTGAAGCTTTTTGGGCTGACACACTTTACACCAGTACAAAATGAAACTGTCCAAATGATAATTACAAGTCTGAGTTCTTCTACATGTAGCCTGGATGTATTACCTCCTAGATTTCTTAAATCTGTTCTGAGCAGTCTTTTACCTTCACTCACGCATATAGTAAATATGTCTCTTGAATCTGGAACATTCCCAATGGCCCTGAAAACGGCAGTCATCAGACCCCTCCTAAAAAAGAGGAGTCTGGATGCCTTGGCACTTAAAAGTTATCGGCCCATTTCAAATCTGCCTTTCATGGGTAAAATTCTAGAAAAAGTTGTCTATCAACAACTTACAGAATTTTTAATAATCAATCACTCTTTTGATATGTTCCAGTCTGGTTTTAGACCCCACCACAGCACAGAGACCGCTCTAGTGAAGGTAACAAATGACATCAGACTTAACACTGACGCAGGAAAAGTCTCAGTTCTTATCCTGTTAGATTTAAGCGCTGCTTTCGACACTGTCGATCATGGTATCCTCATTCAGAGACTTGAGGACTGGGTTGGTGTTTCTGGAACAGCCCTAAGCTGGTTTATATCCTACCTACAGGACAGAAAGTATTTTGTGGAGATCGGAAACTGTATCTCAGACCATCTGGCCCTAACCTGCGGAGTGCCACAGGGATCAATCCTGGGGCCTCTCCTGTTTAATATTTACATGCTGCCTCTGGGTAGGTTAATACACAGTAATAACGTGTCCTATCACAATTACGCTGACGATACTCAGGTCTATGTGTCCCTGACAGCAGGAGAACATGGACCAGTGGACTCGCTCCTTCACTGTATCCAACAGATCAGTGATTGGATGCAAAATAACTTTCTCCAGCTAAACACAGAAAAAACTGAAATTATTGTTTTCGGACCTCAGAAACAAAGAGAGAGCGTTATCTGCCACCTCCAGTCTCTCTCCCTGAAACCCTCAACTCAGGTCAGAAATCTAGGAGTAATAATGGACTCAGACTTGAATTTCAATAGCCACATATCATCTGTGACATCATCAGCTTACTTCCACCTAAGAAACATTGCTAAAATTAAAAACATTGTGTCTAAAGCAGACTTGGAGATTCTTATCCACGCATTTGTCTCCAGTCGATTGGACTACTGCAATGGCTTGTTCACAGGTCTCTCTAAACAAGCGGTAAAACAGCTGCAGTACATCCAAAATGCTGCAGCTCGAGTCCTGACTAGAACCAGGAAGTACGACCACATTAGTCCGGTCCTCAGGTCTCTGCACTGGCTTCCTGTGGCTCAGAGAATAGATTTTAAAGTAGCTTTACTTGTGTACAAGTCTCTCCATGGCCTCGCACCAGGGTACATCCGCGACATGTTGGTGCCATATGAACCAACTCGGGCTCTGAGGAGCACAGGGACTGGACTTCTGTTAGTGCCAAGAGTCGGAACTAGACATGGGGAGGCTGCGTTTCAGATTCATGCAGCTAGAGTCTGGAACCGTCTTCCTGAGAGTGTGAGACAGGCGTCTACTTTAGCAGTTTTTAAAACTGAACTGAAAACAGTTCTTTTTAGCTGTGCATACAAGTGAATGATTTTATATTTGTTTTTATCTTTAATCTTTTTAATGCGCTATGATTATTTATGATTATTTATGATTGTAATCCCTTGTGTGATTTTAATTTTTTACGGTTTTTAACTACTTGTGTGATTTTATATATCTTGTGCTCTTAATCTCTTTTTATGTTTACTTAAATTCTAATGTTTGATGATTTATGCATGATGTTATATGGGTTGTGAGGCGCTTTGCGTTGCCTTGTGTAGGAAAGGCGCTCTATAAATAAACGTTGATTGATTGATTGATTGATATACCCACAATGAGTAACAATTAGGAGGACCAATAATTTAGATGATCCATCCGTCAGAAGAAAAGCCTCCAATATATCCTTAAAGTAGCAATATGTAAGATTTTTATGTCATCATTAAATTGCCCTAATATGTCAAAAGGCATGTATAAACCATGCTCTTTTCCAATCAGAAAGTTGTGATCCAGGTTGCCAGAACTCACAGCATCGAGCTAATCTCACTGGTCAAGTAACATGTGGCCGCAGAACAAAAAAACGTCTTGTGTACATTCTCAAATTATTAACAACAAAACAAGGAATAAAACAAGGAATTCTATTGGGGCCTATGTGAAAAACAAGTTGGTGATAGATTTGTTGTTGACTTTTGTCGATTCAGATTTCATGGTCCCAGCTGGATTTGTCTGCATATCTGGCAACTCGAGTCAGAGAGAGTGGGAGAGGCTGCAGTGCCAATTTTGGTCAGATATTTTCAAACTGCTTCTTTAAGCTCCAGGGGGAAGCTCCACAGCAGTAAGCTAACATCAAGGGGCTGCAACAAACGCAGCCAAATCTTGTGGAACAGAGCTTGGATACGCCATTAGAACTTACCCTGGTCCTAACATATATGGAGATAATGATAAACAAAATCACTCTTTTAACATAATGGCCAGATGAAAACGAGGTTCTATAGTTGCGTTTCCACCGTAGAAGTTCCTAGTAAAAGGAGAGAGGTGGATACTTCTACAGGATCCGTCCTCTCACTCGGCCCCTCAGTGGCCGTGTCTCTACTGCAGAGTAAGTACCCCTCTGCGACGTCATGAGTTTCGATTGCCGCATAAGCGAAACTCATTATGCCAAACCCATTTATTCATTTTATGGTCGGTAGTCCTGCTTCAGTTTTTTAAAAAGTTTTCACTGAATTGTTTTGGAGTGTGATGAATCCCCAGTGCTTAGAGGTTCCCTGATATGTTTTAATATATTCATTTTGCTGCGATGCCTCAAACCCTGTCTGAATCAATGCCTGCACCTCATCATCTGTCCATTTATCGTACATCTTCCTGTTGTGGTTTGCCGTTTCCAGTGGTGTCTGCTAGGCTAATGCTGCTGGATTTAAAAATGCCAGTTGTTTTGGTGCTTACTGCTGGCGTCAGAGGAGCCTAGCTTTAGCCAATCATCTCCGGGTTAACCTCAAGCCCCACCCAGGAGCTGTTCAGGAGCGAACGTTGGTTTCTGTAAATCGCCCTGTGGGGGAGGTTCCTGCAGTGGAGACACACACAAATGTGGCTGGCCCTGTAAAATTAACCCGAAGTTTCTGTGGTAAAAGACTTACTTGCTCAGCTTCCTTTAAGTTTTAATTTAAGAACACCTTAAGTTTGAGACTACCTTTGGCATTTAAATATTCTTTCTCACTGTTGCCTCGGTTACTACAACCGTATACCTTACAAAAGATTGCATAGTTTCTATCAGCTGTATTTGTGGCCGCAGATGCTACGCAGGGTATTGGATTTCTTCTGTCCCTTTTTAGGCATTTTCCTAAAAAATGAAACCTGTTAAGTGAAATGTACATAGTGAGCCTGGTTGAATTTGTTGTAATCCTAATGAAGCCCGTTTGGGTTAGCTCTAATCCTCCATGGAGCAGTTTGAGGCAGCAGTCAAGCACTCATCGGCTTCTTCAGAGGCAGCAGTCTGAGCAGAGACAGGTGTTCCCAGGCTAGCTGAGAGAGGCATGCCCTAGGTCTTACCTGGGGCCTCCGGACACTTCTGCAGGGTGGCATCTAGGCGGCATACACTTTTAGAAGGAAACAACTTAAAATATATATATTTTTTTCTTACACTCCAGCACAGTCACCCACGTCAGTTATGTTTGTAAAAGTAGCTCACCACTTGGATGTCCAGCTTGCTGCGGGGGTCCTGCAGTGAAGCCAGGGACCGCAGGAAGGGGAACATGAGGGGCTGAGTGCTGGCCCAGCAGCTGACCAGCAGGCGCACAGCCACACGCCGCTCGTACGCCACAGTGCGGAGAGCCGAGTCTATACTGGACCAATACCTGTGCAAGGTCAAAACGTGTGTAAGCGCACTCCTGACGGCCACTCAAAACGAGTGGATCTGTGTTCCTCTGCCTGTGAGCCCGCCTCCCCCCACCTGCGCGGTGATGTAGCCCAGACCAGACAGCCTCCTCCCTCCCTGAGCTCCCACTGACTTGACAATATATCCAGTCTATGGTAAACACACAGCATGGGGTAAACACATGCTCTCCAAGTTGATGTGATATTAACACATTTACTGATGTGTAGTTTGTAGAAAGTCACAAAACTTCTTTGGAAGTAATACTTTTGTTTTAAAAAGGAAGATTGTAGCTCTGTTCATGAGGTGATACTGAGGAATCATCATAGTGTACAGTGTTTGAAAAAAATATTGTGGATGGATTTATGTGCGAACAAAGCTCAGTAGCTTACTTCTTGGGGTGTGAGAACTCCATGGTGGGCAGGTAGTTCATGACCGCGATGTAGACAAAGCTCTGGGCGTCTTGGATGGTCCCCAGGATTGCCTGCAGGTCTGCAGTGCGCCCAGACGCACATAGCGGCGGGGGAGAGCTCTGAATAGGACAGGACAGCAGAAGACGGTAAACCAGTGAAGTACAAAAGAGAAAGAGTTTATAAGCTCTTTACAACATGTTCAGAGCCCAGAGACCAGTTTGTCAGCATGCTAAGCTAAGAATAGTCATCCACATTTGCCGTACGCTGGTGGAAGAGTAATAAAACCTACAGGGCAGTTAGCTGGAGCATATAGAAGAAAATACATTATTCAGTCTTTTCCTCAATGGCATTAATCCCTTATAAAGGCTGGAAGTTTTACATGAATACGCTCAATTCAATTTAATTGTATATAGCCTCAATACTTGTGTAAGTGATACAAAGTTACACGGGCCTACTCAATTTTATCTATGATTTCATACAAAATGTGTACAACATCCAGTGGCGGTTACAGGAGTCCAGGTACCGCCTTTGTCGTGAGAACTACAGTCTCGGGATGCTGGGGGAGCAGTGGTTCCTACAGACACTGTCCCAGAGCAGAGGAGCAGTGGTCCTTACAGACTCTGTCCCAGAGCAGAGGAGCAGTGGTCCTTACAGACACTGTCCCAGAGCAGAGGAGCAGGGGTCCCTACAGACTCTGTCCCAGAGCAGAGGAGCAGTGGTCCCTACAGACACTGTCCCAGAGCAGAGGAGCAGTGGTCCCTACAGACACTGTCCCAGAGCAGAGGAGCAGTGGTTCCTACAGACTCTGTCCCAGAGCAGAGGAGCAGTGGTCCTTACAGACACTGTCCCAGAGCAGAGGAGCAGGGGTCCCTACAGACTCTGTCCCAGAGCAGAGGAGCAGTGGTCCCTACAGACACTGTCCCAGAGCAGAGGAGCAGTGGTCCCTACAGACACTGTCCCAGAGCAGAGGAGCAGTGGTCCCTACAGACTCTGTCCCAGAGCAGAGGAGCAGGGGTCCCTACAGACTCTGTCCCAGAGCAGAGGAGCAGTGGTTCCTACAGACACTGTCCCAGAGCAGAGGAGCAGTGGTCCCTACAGACACTGTCCCAGAGCAGAGGAGCAGTGGTCCTTACAGACACTGTCCCAGAGCAGAGGAGCAGTGGTCCCTACAGACACTGTCCCAGAGCAGAGGAGCAGTGGTCCTTACAGGCACTGTCCCAGAGCAGAGGAGCAGGGGTCCCTACAGACACTGTCCCAGAGCAGAGGAGCAGTGGTCCTTACAGACACTGTCCCAGAACAGAGGAGCAGGGGTCCCTACAGACACTGTCCCAGAGCAGAGGAGCAGGGGTCCCTACAGACACTGTCCCAGAGCAGAGGAGCAGGGGTCCTTACAGACACTGTCCCAGAGCAGAGGAGCAGTGGTCCTTACAGACACTGTCCCAGAGCAGAGGAGCTGTGGTCCTTACAGACACTGTCCCAGAGCAGAGGAGCAGTGGTCCCTACAGACACTGTCCCAGAGCAGAGGAGCAGTGGTCCCTACAGACACTGTCCCAGAGCAGAGGAGCAGTGGTCCTTACAGGCACTGTCCCAGAGCAGAGGAGCAGGGGTCCCTACAGACACTGTCCCAGAGCAGAGGAGCAGTGGTCCTTACAGACACTGTCCCAGAGCAGAGGAGCAGTGGTCCTTACAGACACTGTCCCAGAGCAGAGGAGCAGGGGTTCCTACAGACACTGTCCCAGAACAGAGGAGCAGGGGTCCCTACAGACACTGTCCCAGAGCAGAGGAGCAGGGGTCCCTACAGACACTGTCCCAGAGCAGAGGAGCAGGGGTCCCTACAGACACTGTCCCAGAGCAGAGGAGCAGTGGTCCTTACAGACACTGTCCCAGAGCAGAGGAGCAGTGGTCCTTACAGACACTGTCCCAGAACAGAGGAGCAGGGGTCCCTACAGACACTGTCCCAGAGCAGAGGAGCAGGGGTCCCTACAGACACTGTCCCAGAGCAGAGGAGCAGGGGTCCTTACAGACACTGTCCCAGAGCAGAGGAGCAGTGGTCCTTACAGACACTGTCCCAGAGCAGGGGTCCTTACAGACACTGTCCCAGAGCAGGGGAGCTTTGGTCCTTACAGACACTGTCCCAGAGCAGAGGAGCAGTGGTCCCTACAGACACTGTCCCAGAGCAGTGGTCCTTACAGACACCGTCCCAGAGCAGAGGAGCAGTGGTCCTTACAGACACTGTCCCAGAGCAGTGGTCCTTACAGACACTGTCCCAGAGCAGAGGAGCAGTGGTCCTTACAGACACTGTCCCAGAGCAGAGGAGCAGTGGTCCTTACAGACACTGTCCCAGAGCAGAGGAGCAGTGGTCCTTACAGACACTGTCCCAGAGCAGAGGAGCTGTGGTCCCTACAGACACTGTCCCAGAGCAGAGGAGCAGTGGTCCCTACAGACACTGTCCCAGAGCAGAGGAGCAGTGGTCCCTACAGACACTGTCCCAGAGCAGAGGAGCAGTGGTCCCTACAGACACTGTCCCAGAGCAGAGGAGCAGTGGTCCCTACAGACACTGTCCCAGAGCAGAGGAGCAGTGGTCCCTACAGACACTGTCCCAGAGCAGTGGTCCTTACAGACACTGTCCCAGAGCAGAGGAGCAGTGGTCCTTACAGACACTGTCCCAGAGCAGAGGAGCAGTGGTCCTTACAGACACTGTCCCAGAGCAGAGGAGCAGTGGTCCTTACAGACACTGTCCCAGAGCAGAGGAGCAGTGGTCCTTACAGACACTGTCCCAGAGCAGTGGTCCTTACAGACACTGTCCCAGAGCAGAGGAGCAGTGGTCCTTACAGACACTGTCCCAGAGCAGAGGAGCAGTGGTCCTTACAGACACTGTCCCAGAGCAGAGGAGCAGGGGTCCTTACAGACACTGTCCCAGAGCAGAGGAGCAGTGGTCCTTACAGACACTGTCCCAGAGCAGAGGTCCTTACAGACACTGTCCCAGAGCAGAGGAGCAGTGGTCCTTACAGACACTGTCCCAGAGCAGAGGAGCAGTGGTCCCTACAGACACTGTCCCAGAGCAGAGGAGCAGTGGTCCTTACAGGCACTGTCCCAGAGCAGAGGAGCAGTGGTCCTTACAGACACTGTCCCAGAGCAGTGGTCCTTACAGACACTGTCCCAGAGCAGAGGAGCAGTGGTCCCTACAGACACTGTCCCAGAGCAGAGGAGCAGGGGTCCCTACAGACACTGTCCCAGAGCAGAGGAGCAGTGGTCCCTACAGACACTGTCCCAGAGCAGAGGAGCAGTGGTCCCTACAGACACTGTCCCAGAGCAGAGGAGCAGTGGTCCTTACAGACACTGTCCCAGAGCAGTGGTCCTTACAGACACTGTCCCAGAGCAGAGGAGCAGTGGTCCTTACAGACACTGTCCCAGAAGCAGAGGAGCTGTGGTCCTTACAGACACTGTCCCAGAGCAGAGGAGCAGTGGTCCTTACAGACACTGTCCCAGAGCAGAGGAGCTGTGGTCCCTACAGACACTGTCCCAGAGCAGAGGAGCAGTGGTCCCTACAGACACTGTCCCAGAGCAGAGGAGCAGTGGTCCCTACAGACACTGTCCCAGAGCAGAGGAGCAGTGGTCCCTACAGACACTGTCCCAGAGCAGAGGAGCAGTGGTCCCTACAGACACTGTCCCAGAGCAGAGGAGCAGTGGTCCCTACAGACACTGTCCCAGAGCAGAGGAGCAGTGGTCCCTACAGACACTGTCCCAGAGCAGAGGAGCAGTGGTCCCTACAGACACTGTCCCAGAGCAGAGGAGCAGTGGTCCCTACAGACACACTGTCCCAGAGCAGAGGAGCAGTGGTCCCTACAGACACTGTCCCAGAGCAGTGGTCCTTACAGACACCGTCCCAGAGCAGAGGAGCAGTGGTCCCTACAGACACTGTCCCAGAGCAGAGGAGCAGTGGTCCCTACAGACACTGTCCCAGAGCAGAGGAGCAGGGGTCCTTACAGACACTGTCCCAGAGCAGGGGTCCTTACAGACACTGTCCCAGAGCAGGGGTCCTTACAGACACTGTCCCAGAGCAGAGGAGCTGTGGTCCTTACAGACACTGTCCCAGAGCAGAGGAGCAGTGGTCCTTACAGACACTGTCCCAGAGCAGAGGAGCAGTGGTCCCTACAGACACTGTCCCAGAGCAGAGGAGCAGTGGTCCTTACAGACACTGTCCCAGAGCAGAGGAGCTGTGGTCCTTACAGACACTGTCCCAGAGCAGAGGAGCAGTGGTCCCTACAGACACTGTCCCAGAGCAGAGGAGCAGTGGTCCCTACAGACACTGTCCCAGAGCAGAGGAGCTGTGGTCCTTACAGACACTGTCCCAGAGCAGAGGAGCTGTGGTCCTTACAGACACTGTCCCAGAGCAGCAGGGGTCCTTACAGACACTGTCCCAGAGCAGGGGTCCTTACAGACACTGTCCCAGAGCAGAGGAGCTTTGGTCCTTACAGACACTGTCCCAGAGCAGAGGAGCAGTGGTCCCTACAGACACTGTCCCAGAGCAGAGGAGCAGTGGTCCCTACAGACACTGTCCCAGAGCAGTGGTCCTTACAGACACCGTCCCAGAGCAGAGGAGCAGTGGTCCTTACAGACACCGTCCCAGAGCAGAGGAGCAGTGGTCCTTACAGACACTGTCCCAGAGCAGAGGAGCAGTGGTCCTTACAGACACTGTCCCAGAGCAGAGGAGCAGTGGTCCTTACAGACACTGTCCCAGAGCAGAGGAGCAGTGGTCCCTACAGACACTGTCCCAGAGCAGAGGAGCTGTGGTCCTTACAGACACTGTCCCAGAGCAGAGGAGCAGGGGTCCTTACAGACACTGTCCCAGAGCAGGGGTCCTTACAGACACTGTCCCAGAGCAGGGGTCCTTACAGACACTGTCCCAGAGCAGGGGTCCCTACAGACACTGTCCCAGAGCAGAGGAGCAGTGGTCCTTACAGACACTGTCCCAGAGCAGAGGAGCAGTGGTCCTTACAGACACTGTCCCAGAGCAGAGGAGCAGTGGTCCCTACAGACACTGTCCCAGAGCAGAGGAGCAGTGGTCCTTACAGACACTGTCCCAGAGCAGAGGAGCAGTGGTCCTTACAGACACTGTCCCAGAGCAGAGGAGCAGGGGTCCTTACAGACACTGTCCCAGAGCAGAGGAGCAGTGGTCCTTACAGACACTGTCCCAGAGCAGTGGTCCTTACAGACACTGTCCCAGAGCAGAGGAGCAGTGGTCCTTACAGACACTGTCCCAGAGCAGAGGAGCAGGGGTCCCTACAGACACTGTCCCAGAGCAGAGGAGCAGTGGTCCCTACAGACACTGTCCCAGAGCAGAGGAGCAGTGGTCCCTACAGACACTGTCCCAGAGCAGAGGAGCAGTGGTCCCTACAGACACTGTCCCAGAGCAGAGGAGCAGTGGTCCTTACAGACACTGTCCCAGAGCAGAGGAGCAGTGGTCCCTACAGACACTGTCCCAGAGCAGAGGAGCTGTGGTCCTTACAGACACTGTCCCAGAGCAGAGGAGCAGTGGTCCTTACAGACACTGTCCCAGAGCAGAGGAGCAGTGGTCCCTACAGACACTGTCCCAGAGCAGAGGAGCAGGGGTCCCTACAGACACTGTCCCAGAGCAGAGGAGCAGTGGTCCTTACAGACACTGTCCCAGAGCAGAGGAGCAGTGGTCCCTACAGACACTGTCCCAGAGCAGAGGAGCAGTGGTCCCTACAGACACTGTCCCAGAGCAGAGGAGCTGTGGTCCTTACAGACACTGTCCCAGAGCAGAGGAGCAGGGGTCCTTACAGACACTGTCCCAGAGCAGCAGGGGTCCTTACAGACACTGTCCCAGAGCAGGGGTCCTTACAGACACTGTCCCAGAGCAGAGGAGCAGTGGTCCCTACAGACACTGTCCCAGAGCAGTGGTCCTTACAGACACTGTCCCAGAGCAGAGGAGCAGTGGTCCCTACAGACACTGTCCCAGAGCAGAGGAGCAGTGGTCCTTACAGACACTGTCCCAGAGCAGAGGAGCAGGGGTCCTTACAGACACTGTCCCAGAGCAGAGGAGCAGTGGTCCTTACAGACACTGTCCCAGAGCAGAGGAGCTGTGGTCCTTACAGACACTGTCCCAGAGCAGAGGAGCAGGGGTCCTTACAGACACTGTCCCAGAGCAGGGGTCCTTACAGACACTGTCCCAGAGCAGGGGTCCCTACAGACACTGTCCCAGAGCAGAGGAGCAGTGGTCCTTACAGACACTGTCCCAGAGCAGGGGTCCTTACAGACACTGTCCCAGAGCAGAGGAGCAGTGGTCCTTACAGACACTGTCCCAGAGCAGGGGTCCCTACAGACACTGTCCCAGAGCAGAGGAGCAGTGGTCCTTACAGACACTGTCCCAGAGCAGGGGTCCTTACAGACACTGTCCCAGAGCAGAGGAGCAGTGGTCCTTACAGACACTGTCCCAGAGCAGAGGAGCTGTGGTCCTTACAGACACTGTCCCAGAGCAGAGGAGCAGTGGTCCCTACAGACACTGTCCCAGAGCAGAGGAGCAGTGGGTCCCTACAGACACTGTCCCAGAGCAGAGGAGCTGTGGTCCTTACAGACACTGTCCCAGAGCAGAGGAGCAGGGGTCCTTACAGACACTGTCCCAGAGCAGCAGGGGTCCTTACAGACACTGTCCCAGAGCAGGGGTCCTTACAGACACTGTCCCAGAGCAGAGGAGCAGTGGTCCCTACAGACACTGTCCCAGAGCAGTGGTCCTTACAGACACCGTCCCAGAGCAGAGGAGCAGTGGTCCCTACAGACACTGTCCCAGAGCAGAGGAGCAGTGGTCCCTACAGACACTGTCCCAGAGCAGAGGAGCAGGGGTCCTTACAGACACTGTCCCAGAGCAGGGGTCCTTACAGACACTGTCCCAGAGCAGGGGTCCTTACAGACACTGTCCCAGAGCAGAGGAGCTGGGTCCTTACAGACACTGTCCCAGAGCAGAGGAGCAGTGGTCCCTACAGACACTGTCCCAGAGCAGAGGAGCAGTGGTCCCTACAGACACTGTCCCAGAGCAGAGGAGCTGTGGTCCTTACAGACACTGTCCCAGAGCAGAGGAGCAGGGGTCCTTACAGACACTGTCCCAGAGCAGCAGGGGTCCTTACAGACACTGTCCCAGAGCAGCAGGGGTCCTTACAGACACTGTCCCAGAGCAGAGGAGCTTTGGTCCTTACAGACACTGTCCCAGAGCAGAGGAGCAGTGGTCCCTACAGACACTGTCCCAGAGCAGAGGAGCAGTGGTCCCTACAGACACTGTCCCAGAGCAGTGGTCCTTACAGACACCGTCCCAGAGCAGAGGAGCAGTGGTCCTTACAGACACTGTCCCAGAGCAGAGGAGCAGTGGTCCTTACAGACACTGTCCCAGAGCAGAGGAGCAGTGGTCCTTACAGACACTGTCCCAGAGCAGAGGAGCTGTGGTCCTTACAGACACTGTCCCAGAGCAGAGGAGCTGTGGTCCTTACAGACACTGTCCCAGAGCAGAGTAGCAGTGGTCCTTACAGACACTGTCCCAGAGCAGAGGAGCAGTGGTCCCTACAGACACTGTCCCAGAGCAGAGGAGCAGTGGTCCCTACAGACACTGTCCCAGAGCAGAGGAGCAGTGGTCCTTACAGACACTGTCCCAGAGCAGAGGAGCAGTGGTCCCTACAGACACTGTCCCAGAGCAGAGGAGCAGTGGTCCCTACAGACACTGTCCCAGAGCAGTGGTCCTTACAGACACCGTCCCAGAGCAGAGGAGCAGTGGTCCTTACAGACACTGTCCCAGAGCAGAGGAGCAGTGGTCCTTACAGACACTGTCCCAGAGCAGAGGAGCAGGGGTCCCTACAGACACTGTCCCAGAGCAGAGGAGCAGTGGTCCCTACAGACACTGTCCCAGAGCAGTGGTCCTTACAGACACCGTCCCAGAGCAGAGGAGCAGTGGTCCTTACAGACACTGTCCCAGAGCAGAGGAGCAGTGGTCCTTACAGACACTGTCCCAGAGCAGAGGAGCAGTGGTCCTTACAGACACTGTCCCAGAGCAGAGGAGCAGTGGTCCCTACAGACACTGTCCCAGAGCAGAGGAGCAGTGGTCCCTACAGACACTGTCCCAGAGCAGAGGAGCAGTGGTCCTTACAGACACTGTCCCAGAGCAGAGGAGCTGTGGTCCTTACAGACACTGTCCCAGAGCAGAGGAGCTGTGGTCCTTACAGACACTGTCCCAGAGCAGAGTAGCAGTGGTCCTTACAGACACTGTCCCAGAGCAGAGGAGCAGTGGTCCCTACAGACACTGTCCCAGAGCAGAGGAGCAGTGGTCCCTACAGACACTGTCCCAGAGCAGAGGAGCAGTGGTCCTTACAGACACTGTCCCAGAGCAGAGGAGCAGTGGTCCTTACAGACACTGTCCCAGAGCAGAGGAGCAGTGGTCCCTACAGACACTGTCCCAGAGCAGAGGAGCAGTGGTCCTTACAGACACTGTCCCAGAGTAGTGGTGTTGTGGTTCTTACCGACAGATAGACACTGGCATCGGAGTGGTTGAGCTGCAGCTGCAGAGGGCTGTCCTGGTTGTAGGCAGTGGAGAAAGAGCTGGGCCAGGGGGAGGGGATGGACTGGTCCTTCCCCACGTACCAGTAAGCCTCAAAGATCTTCTCCAGATCTGCGGCCAGACAGCTGCAGTTATACACCACGGCTCCCAGCTCCTTCACCTGCAGAACAGACACAGAAAACAGAAACATTAAAAAGAGAAGACCAAGAGAGAAGCAAGTAGTGATAGCGACAAAATTTACCCCTGTTGGGACAAACAACAAGCAAACCCCAGCTCTAATTCAAGTCTAACTTTATAAGACACAGAGATGCATGCAAAATCCAAACAAAGGCTCCAGGTCTTCAATTGAAAAAAAAAACACAAGTTTGAAAACACAGCATTTAGACAGAAAGGGAGATGTGGCTGCACCAGAACGTCCTCATATTAGTGTGAATGAAGCTAAATACAACTGCAGATCTGTTTCGGACAAGGAACAAGCATTTAACATGGTAAAAATCAATGTGTCCTTTAAAGTGGATGAGTTTGAAAATGGGAGAGAGTTCTGGCTGCGTGTTGGCCACATGCCTGTGTGAGGGACCTCCAGTCCATGTTGGCACTGCCGATGTACACGTGCCTCTTGTCCACTATCCAGAACTTGGTGTGAAGGACTCCTGTGGTCAGCTCTTTCATGTTCACTGTCCGGATCAGAGCTCCTGAAACACCCCACACACATATCCAGGCTTTGAAGAACTCAAATTCAGCTCTTAAGACATGATTTTGGGACATCATTGTTGAGGTGAACTTGTTCGGACAGAAAAGAAAAAGTATAAAATATCTGGTTGAATACTAGCAGTTTGAAATTACATACCGATTTTAAAAGTTATAATGAAGTCATTCTTCATTAGTTGTAGTTTGAAAAGCTGACTATGCCAAACTCAGCATGGCTCTACTCAGTTTCTGTGTTTTCACAGGCTATGCTGGGCCAGGCTTCCTTGGTTTGTGGACTGATGGGAAAGTCACATGACCTATGTGAACGACATATATTCTGAAGAAAATGACTTATACTGGACATATATTAAACTCACGTGCACTTATATGCGTTTAAGTTTCCTTTTCAGTTTGATGTATAGGAATTATGGAATAAAGACAGACGCTGCAGGAGAACTTCAAAGCGGCTTGTTTGGAGAGCTACTTTTACACAACAGAATTTGCAAAGAGCTACTCTTTTTCTGCAGTTGCAAAAAAAAACTAGTCAATGGAATAACTGCGTACAATCATGGACAACACTTATATGTGCCATATTACTGTATAATCGGACATTACAGAACATAAAGAAAACAAGTATAGTTAAATTAGATATGCAATGACTCCAAATGACTTGTAATCATTTAGGATCATGTGCCTGATTCTTGAATCCTTTGGAGCTCCCAAAGGGGTCAGCGAGCTACTGGTTACTTTTGAGCTACAGGCTGTAGACCACTGCTATACACCTGTCATGCTAATACTATTGTTAGCTACTTTTAGAATGATCTATTTATATGTTTTGTTTGTGTGGATGGATGTGTTTCTGCTGCTACTGGACACCTGAATTTCTCCTACGGGGACCAATAAAGTATCTATCAATGTATCTATCTTTTAAGTTTACCTGAAGAGTAGAGAGGATGGACGAGATCTTACAGGTTTAGCACACCTGTTGTCCTTCATCATAGATTTTCATTTTTAATAGGAGCCACTTGATCAAGATGGTGGATAGTGACTATCGCCATTTAAAATGTCAAAAAAAAAAGTATAATTCAGGGTCAATAAATGAGAATATAATTAAGTGAATATATTAACCAATATGAGATTATATAGTTTATAGTAGTGATGGTATAGTTACAACACGATACATATTATGAACAAACAGTGCCTTGCGAAAGTATTCGGCCCCCTTGAACCTTTCAACATTTCGCCACATTTCAGGCTTAAAACAAAGATATACAATTTTTTTTTTTTTGTCAAGAATCAACAACAAGTGGAACACAATCGTGAAGTGGAACGAAATTTATTGGATAATTTAAACTTTTTTAACAAATAAAAAACTGAAAAGTGGGGCGTGCAATATTATTCGGCCCCCTTGCGCTAATACTTTGTAGCGCCACCTTTTGCTGCAATTACAGCTGAAAGTCGCTTGGGGTATGTCTCTATCAGTTTTGCACATCGAGAGACTGGAATTCTTGCCCATTCTTCCTTGCAAAACAGCTGGAGCTCAGTGAGGTTGGATGGAGAGCGTTTGTGAACAGCAGTCTTCAGCTCTTTCCACAGATTCTGGATTGGATTCAGGTCTGGACTTTGACTTGGCCATTCTAACACCTGGATACGTCTATTTGTGAACCATTCCATTGTAGATTTGGCTTTATGTTTTGGATCATTGTCCTGTTGGAAGATAAATCTCCGTCCCAGTCTCAGGTCTTTTGCAGACTCCAACAGGTTTTCTTCCAGAATGGTCCTGTATTTGGCTCCATCCATCTTCCCATCAATTTTAGCCATCTTCCCTGTCCCTGCTGAAGAAAAGCAGGCCTAAAGCATGATGCTGCCACCACCATGTTTGACAGTGGGGATGGTGTGTTCAGGGTGATGAGCTGTGTTGCTTTTACGCCAAACATATCGTTTTGCATTGTGGCCAAAAAGTTCGATTTTGGTTTCATCTGACCAGAGCACCTTCTTCCACATGTTTGGTGTGTCTCCCAGGTGGCTTGTGGCAAACTTTAAACAAGACTTCTTTATGGAAATCTTTGAGAAAAAATTCTCTAAGTTTACGCAGAAAGTAGAGACGCTGACGAGCTTTCTTAACGACTCGGTCAGTGTTTTTAACCCATTTCAGGTTAGACAGAGTTAGACCCAGAAACTTGCTCCTCTACGATCTGCACCTGGGAGTTGTCGATTACGACAGGCAAATGAGAACTATTGCGACTGAAGTCGTAGACCAGTTTACATGTTTTGGATGCGTTCAACTGGAGGTTGTTAGTTTGACTCCACTGAACCACATTTTGTATCTCTGCTCTATAAGAGGATTCATCAGTGTCACTGATGAGACCGATGATGGTGGTGTCATCAGCATATTTGATGATCAAGTTTGAGTCAGAGGAGGACACACAATCGTGAGTGTACAAAGTAAAGAGCAGAGGACTCAAAATACATCCCTGAGGAGAACCAGTGCTCACAGAAACAACATCAGAAAAACACTCATTGATTTTCACTCTCTGAGATCTGTCAGTTAAAAAGCTAAAAATCCATTTACACATGGCAACACTTAAACCGAGAGACATGAGCTTTTCAATCAGTTTACCTGGGACAAGGCAGTCAAAAGCAGAGCTATAATGGATGAAAAGCATTCTGGCCACAGATTTACTAGTGTCCAAGTGACTGTAGACAGAGTTCAGAGCAAAGGAGATGCATCCTCCACACTCCTGTTCTGTCTGTAGCAAACTGGAGCGGGTCAACACTCACAGGGTTCTGGCTCTTAATGAAGTCCAGCACAAGCCGCTCAAAAGTCTTCATAAGAACAGACGTGAAAGCCACAGGACGATAGTCATTCAGGCATGTCACAGGAGTTTTCTTAGGAACTGGAATGATGGTGGACTCTTTAAAGCAGTTCGGCACAGTACAGTTCCTTAGCGACAGGTTGAAAATGTCTGTTAGCACAGGGGCAAGTTGCTCAGAGCACAGTTTCAGGACACGAGGAGGGATGCCGTCCGGGCCTGGGGCTTTCCGGACTGTGGTCCTGGACAAGACACGCCTGACTTCCTCCTGAGTCACGGTGAAGGGACCTTGATTGAAACACTCAGGGAATACAGTAGGACAGGCATCAGCGGATTCAAAGCGACAGTAGAACGTGTTCAGCTCGTTTGGCAGAGCTTGGCCGACAGATGCAGTTTTCCCAGCGCTAGGTTTCCACGATGTGATGGCTTTAATACCGTTCCACATGCGCCGAGGGTCATCTTCCTCAAAATAACTCTTTAACCTGTCCCCGTAACTGCGCTTTGCAGATTTAATAGAACGTTTCAATGAGTAACAGGATAGCTTATAAGCAACTGTATCATTTGATTGAAACGCCAACGCACGCTCATGAAGTTTCAGTTTCACTTCCGCGTTCATCCAAGGGTTTTGACTAAAATGTTCTTTAATGACCTTCTGTGGGACACAGCAGTAAATACAGAAGCGTATGTATCCAGACACAGCGTCACAGAATTCATTGACGTCCTCTGACTGAAACACAGACCAGTACGTAGCATCAAAACAACCTTGTAGCTTCATGCTAGCCTCCTCAGACCAACACTGCACAGTGCGAGAGGTTGGTTTATGTTCCCTGCTCCTCTGAGTATACGAAGGAAGAAGGAGAACAGAGGAGTGGTCAGACGTTCCAAAAGGAGGTCTGAGACTGGACCTGTAAGCTCCCTTCACGTTACTGTAGCAGTGCCCGTGGTCTCCTTCACTCTGTCCGAGCGGTGAGCGGTGAATCCCGGGGGCTGAACAGCAGAGTCCGGGACGTTCGAGTGGAGCCACGTCTCGCTGAGACAGAACACAGTCCCGGGCCTCGCGCTGGCTCTGGACCCGACACAGGAGCTCGTCCGTCTTGTTGGGCAGAGACTGGACGTTGGCCAGGTAGATGGAGGGCAAAGGGGTCCTGGAGGAGCGGCTACGAACGAGCAGACCGCCTCGCCTTCCCCGGTGTCTGCGCCTCCTTCGCCGACTCGAGGTGCCAGCTCCACACCGCGGAGAGAACGCCAGAGACGCCCGGTCCCCTCGCTCTGTTGGCGGCCACCGCCGCGGCCCGCCTGCCGTGCTCCACCAGCCTCTCGAGTGGGACACTCGAGGAAGTTTGTGCACCTCAGTTCAGGTAAAACGAGTGACCCGTCACCCGCGTGATCCCGAATGTGCAGAAGTGTTTGCCGATCATATTTCACTGTGGCAAGTGAATCCCAGACGAAAAACAACAAAACACAGATTGTGCGCACCAGAGCGTTCACTGCGGCGCCCTGACACGGCGCCATCTAAAGCTTGGGAAATCTTTTTGTATCCAAATCCGGCTTTAAACTTCTCCACAACAGTATCTCGGACCTGCCTGGTGTGTTCCTTTGTCTTCATGGTTCTCTCTGTGCTTTAAACAGAACCCTGAGACTATCAAAGAGCAGGTGCATTTATACGGAGACTTGATTACACACAGGTGCATTCTATTTATCATCATCAGTCATTTAGGACAACATTGGATCATTCAAAGATCCTCACTGAACTTCTGGACTGAGTTTGCTGCACTGAAAGTAAAGGGGCCCAATAATATTGCACGCCCCACTTTTCAGTTTTTTATTTGTTAAAAAAGTTTTAATTATCCAATACATTTTGTTCCACTTCACGATTGTGTCCCACTTGTTGTTGATTCATGACAAAAAATTAAAAATGTATATCTTTATGTTTGAAGCCTGAAATGTGGCGAAATGTTGAAAGGTTAAAGGGGGCCGAATACTTTCGCAAGGCACTGTACTTAGCAATGTATAGTGAAAGGATTTCAGATAGTACCTAAAGTAAGCAATGAGGTGCGTATGAAGAGTAAATGTAGCACTTTTTAAAAAGACATTATTATTCAGTTGACATCTATATAATGATGCATCGGGGAATGAATCACAATATTGATGGTTGTGTTTAGGAGCTATCATCATGTGTGAGATGGTCTGGT